GTTGTGCAGTGCATCGTTCGCCATCGAATTCTCTGCTTTCCTGTTCTGCAGGCTTTGCGTGCTCTCGGGCATTGGTCCGAGCGTCATTGTCATGGGGGCGCCCACTGGCCTCGGTAGGGGTGGACGGCCTTGCCCTGCTCCGGGGCCTGCGGTAGAGGTGGGCAAACCGTCGAGCGATGATGTCATCCCTGCAAAAGTTGTTTTTCAGCTTGACCAGAATGGGCCGTGAGAACCTCCATCGCTGCAGCGAAGGTCGCTGCCCAGGCCGCGTGCTGAGTCAATCGCGGTCGACGGGCTGAGCCAAACGCGACGGTTACGGAAGAAAATCCATTTGCCCACGAGCAGGGGCAGCGCATTGCGCTCGGAAGGATAATTCGAGATATTAATAACATGACCCGCGTGTCCCATGGGGGGGGGGCCGCCTGAGACTTCCTCGCAATGCACGCATGGCTGTGTAGTCAGTGACTGAGCGAGTGGCGGCGATGGTGATGATGATGACGATGGTGATGATGATGGTGGTGATGATGATGATGATGTTGATGCTGCTGATGATGATGATGATGATGATGATGATGATGATGATGATGATGATATCCTCCTCCCCCCGAACCACCGCCCTGAAAAGGGCCCAGGCTGAGCTGATTCATACACGAACCTCCCCGCGCCCCCTTCGGCAACCTAGGCACGAGCATTTGGGGCCGCGAAGATTCACCCAGCGAAGCAGAACCAGCCAGCGATGGTGACCGCTGCCGCTAGCGAGCCGACTGGAGCTCAGGCATGGGACGGGGAGTACTATGAGGTATCGGAGGCGGACTGCCTTGAGATATTGGCACTCAAAGATGGCTCGAAGCGAAACGCGCCGTGCCGCAAGTACGTGGCCAGCTCGGGTTCTGTTTCGGCACATTGGACGTGCGCGCTGTGCACGAGGAAAAACGGCATATTGACGACAGCTACCAAGGGGCTTTTGGACTCTGCTGAGCACAAAGGCAAAATTGGAAAAGGAGAATGGCAGCACCTAGAAAACATCCAGAGGGCTGACACATGCACAAGACCAACATTGAGAAAATGACACGGTCCGACAAGTATGGGGGGGCGACCTCTCCCGAAGATGATGGCCTCGGTGGGGCGGGGTGGGGTGGTGCAGCGCCGATGGAGGAGGCGCCAGCAAACACGGCGGCGGCGGTGGCGGCAGCAGGAGCGGCGGAGGCGGGAGCGGCGGCAGCGGGTGGGAGGCACCCCAGTTTGCGGCAGACACTTCCCCCCCCTCCGGTGACCGTCCAAAGCGGTTTCCTTTGAAGACCCGACGGCGACGCCGCCGACGCCGACGACGACGCCGCGCTGTTGATGCCCCCTGCGTGGGCCGTGGTCGACGACGACGGCGACGACGACGACGACGAAGACGACGCGTTGCTGATGCCCCGTGGTAAGGGAGGGTTGCTGCATGGGTTAAGGTTGACGACGCCGACGACGCCGCCGCCGACGACGACGACGACGAGGGCTCCAGGAAAAATCGCGCTTACTTTGGATGGGACAATAATCGTCCCCCCCTGGGTCCGCGGGGGGGAGGGTAGGGCACGTGCTGTCGGAACAGATCGGGTGGGGGTTGGGGGAAGATGAGGCGGAAGAGGAGGAGGAGGAGGAGGAGGAGGAGGAGGAGGAGCAGGCGAAAGGAGGAGGAGAAGGAGCAGGAGCAGGAGCAGGAGGGGAGGAGGACTGCGAAGGAAGAGGAGGACGAGGAGGAGACCTGTGAAGCAGGCGAGAGGTGGCGGGGGAGGAGGAGGAGGAGGAGCAGGAGCAGGAGCAGGAGCACGAGCACGAGCAGGAGGACGACGATGACCCCGATGGGTCGCCCACAGCGGCACGAAGACGGCCACCGCCGCCCTTCGCGCTCCGTGGCCTGGGCTGCAGAGGTGCCCCTCCATGATACTATGATTATGTGCGTCGCCCCCCCCCAGTGGAGACGCGCGCACCGAGAAATCTTATAGTATATGCGTCGTGGCGGGCGGGCGTTTTCTGGCCACGCCGCTCGGGAAAGGATATACTGCAAGAGGGGTATGCTAGATGTTCGGGTCGGACCCGCGCCTCCAAGGATGACATACAGTACCAGTATGCCTGTGTGCGTCCCAGGGCAAGGTGGCCTCTCCCAGGGTGCGTCTTGACCAGCATTCCGATGCGAATCCAGGCGTGGCGATGAGGGCTTCCCAGGAGCCCCAAAACGAGGCGAAACGGGGGCAAGGGCATCGGTATCGGTCTCAGCACTGCTGCCTGCTCCAGAGCTTCTGCTCGGCGGGCAGGGCCAGCGCACTCCAGCGGAGTGCCGCGAGCGGCGACCACGTCCGTCTCCGCGCCCTCGCGGTCCGGACTCTCGGGCGCGATGCTGCGGATGCGCGGTCGCGCGGATAGGCTCCGCGCGGAGCGCCCGCGAAACAGCGCCCCGAGTCCGCGACGTCGTTGCCCAGGGGGATCCTCGGGCGCGACCCTGCGGATGCGCGGCCGCGCGGATAGGCTCCGCGCGGGGCACCCGCGAAGCAAAAACACGCCCGAGTCCGCGAGGCCGCTGCCCGGGTGCCCCACGCTGGCCGCGGATACGGATGGTCTTCGCCCATGACCTCTTCAGGGGCCAGGGGGGAGGGGCACGCGGCGCGCGAGAGCGTGGAGGTAAGGAGGAGGAGGAGGAGGAGGAGGAGGAGGAGGAGGAGGAGGAGGAGGAGGAGGTAAGAAGGTAAGGAGGAGGAGGAGGAGGAGGAGGAGGAGGAGGAGGAGGAGGAGGAGGGAGGAGGAGGAGGAGGAGGAGGAGGAGGAGGAGGAGGAGGGGGAGGAGGAGGAGGAGGAGAATAAGGAGGAGGAGGAGGAGGAGGAGGAGGAGGAGGAGGAATGCCAGAGTAAACCAAATATGCGCAAACGATGCTGCAATGCACCTTCCCGCCCCACGGTCCCTCCTCATACCTCCCGCACGCTGCGTTGCTCCTGGCAAGGATCACGGGGTAAGATGGCCTACACGGTGGCTCGGCTCAACGTGGGAACACTTATCGATACGTTAGATAGTTCGAGCATGGACCCCCTGTTGAACGCAGCTCTCCAGCTTTTGCGCCGAAGTCCGCCAGAAACCGCCGACGACTACCGAAGACCGCCGAAGACCGTAAGAAGACCGCCGAAGACGGCCCAAGGCCGATGGGTCACAAGGGTCCATGTTCGAGCACGTAGGGTACGATCGACATGGGGACGAAGGCCAACAGCGTTTCCTGACCCTTCTGAACTGGACTCGTTGTCGGTGTCGCTTCGTCTCCGAGGAATCGAGGAGTTGGCTTGTCTTCCGTGGCGGAAGTGGGCGGAAGTGAAAGGAGGGCAAGCTCGCCGGCGGCGGCGGAAGTCAGCGGGCGTGAAAAGATGTTTGCTAGTTTGTTCACCACCCGACAGGTTGAGGTTGTTAGAAAAATGCCCCCGACCCGCATCGCACACCCCTTGAATCGCAGCCTCCAGACCCACAAGGTGCCAGTGCTCCCTGAGTATCTCGCCTCGTGCCGTCGACGAATGACAGCTGCACCCCGGCCAGGCCCAACGTGTGCTGGTGGTCCCCGGGCATCCCGCCTCGCGTTCTCAGGGTTGCGGATCGCTCAAAGAAGAATAGTTTCTTGCTTCTGGAGCGACGGCCCGGTCCGTCCCCGAAGCGGGTTCGGGACTTTGGAGCTCCCCGTCGCCCGAATCTCCACTGACTCACCACGGATAATTTACAACCCTCCCGAACAGAACATGTGATGGGCAGATCCATTTCTGCCCGTCCCGCCTCCAGCCCCGAACCAAAGTTGGCCCGCGGCTTTGCGCTCGGCGGCCACCCCCGCCAGCACTGAATGGGGGGCAGTGGGGGGCACGGACCTCATGGTCTCAATGCGACCCCTCAGCGATCCGAAGGCCTACGTCCATCAGGTCGTTTTTGAAGGAGGGGGTCCGTATTGTTCAACCGACCCATCCCCATCCAGACCCTCACCATTTTACCAGCCCAGTTTGGGATCTAACCTTCGAACCCCGAAGGAAACGGCCTGTACCCCATCTAGGGGGGTACATCGGCCAGCGGGGCCCAAGCCGCGCCCATGGGGGTTGGGGTCGGTTTAACGAGGCTCATTATCAAGGGCGGGGTGATTGACCTTCCGACGGAGCTTGCCCACCCCCACCCCCTCACCCTCCCTCCTCCTCCTTTTCCCACCTCCTGCTCCTCCTGATACCAGCGGAGACTCAACAGAGGGCACAACATATGCATTATGTTCTTGAGTTCAGCAAAAAGCAAGTCGTGCGCAAATGGGGGCAGGGAGAGGACCGAGAGTCGTTCACACGGGCGGCGCCTGCTTCACAGGTCTCCTCCTCGTCCTCCTCTTCCTTCGCAGTCCTCCTCCCCTCCTGCTCCTCCTCCTCCTCCTCCTTTCGCCTGCTCCTCCTCCTCCTCCTCCTCCTCCTCCTCCTCCTCCTCCTCCTCTTCCGCCTCATCTTCCTCCAACCCCCACTCCATCTTTTCCGACAGCACGTGCCCAATCCCTCCCCCCGGACCCAATGGGGTGGGGGGGGCGCGGGGGCGAGTATTGCCCCATCCAGAGTAAGCGTGATTTTCCCCGAAGCCGTCGTCGTCGTCGTTGTCGTTCTCGTCGTCGTCGTGATGATAGTCGTCTCGGTGATCTTCCCATGGGATGAAAGACGGCCGTGACTTCCCTCGAAGCCTAGAGGTCGGGGCTCCCCCCCTGCCAACACCACTCACAACCGGTCCACGGACCCTCCTGGGGCCTGCCCGCGACGAGCCTTCCGAGCAGCGTTCAGTCGCGGCGACCTGTCGCAGACAAACGGAAGTGAGGACGGACGAGAACCCCACACATCGACAATCGGGGTTTGGGCCCTCACCCACTCAGAAACGTGCGCTTTCGCGATCATGGGCCCATCGCCGATCTGTCGGCGACGCATCGTTTATTCCTGGCCGATGTTCCCCCTTCTTGCCCCCTCGTTTGGCCTCCCCTCAGGATCACTGCTTCTACCGCAGCTCAGCGCACGGCTGGATACCGGCCACCGCCAAGCGCTACCACCCCGAGGACATCCCCAGATCCAGCGTTCTCGGAATGCCTTCGAAGTGTGCGTTGGGGATCTCTGGATGTTGTCGGGCCCAGAGATGTTGAGTCCGCCTGGACCTTTGGGTAGGACCCCCCACTCCAAATCGGCCAGTCCGGGCTCCCGCGGGAGGGACGGCCAACAAATTACGTGGGATCTGAATTGGTGTCCCGACAGCAAAAAAGGCGAATCCTAACATCGAGCGCCACATATTCCTGCTGATTGGAGAATCATGGCGTCGGAAGTCTAGGGAGTTTCGCTGTGCTGACAACCAGCTGGTTCAAACAACAATATCGAAGTGACCCGAGCTCAGTCCAGGAACCACCATTGAGACAGTGTTGGGTCACTCTGGGTCGGTGTTTGGGGCCAACTCGCTACGGATGCGTTCTGGACCATGGGCGTTATGTTGCGGTTTGTTCGCGACGCTTCCACGTGGCATACCCCATGAGGACGGCACCTTCGACCTCGACGTCAAGCAGCGGGTGCGGCCAGACCTCATCCGAACCCTGCGCGAGGGCGACGCGGTCGAGTACCACAGCACGTCCTCTGGCCAGTGGATCCCAGCGCGGGTTCTGCGCAGGTGCCAGGCGCCAGGCACGTACGACCTCGACTGCAAGGAGAGGGTCGACATGCGGCGCATGCGGCCTGCCGGAGGCGGCGCCGCCGCGCCGTCGCTGCCCGCGGCGCCGCTGCCGCCCTCGGCGCCGCAGCCTGACAGGGGCGACGCCGCGGCCGCGGCCGAAGCGGCGCGGGCCCGCGCCGAGCTGCAGAAGGCGCGGTGGTCAAGGGACGGGCAGCTGATGCGCGCCGCGCTGAAGTGCGGCGCCGAGGCGGGCCTGTCTCGCCAGGAGCTGGAGCCCGTGGAGCGCGCGCTGGCGGAGCTCGAGGCGCGCGCGGCGCTGCAGGAAGCCGCGAGACAGCGCGACGCCGCGCCCCTGCGGGAGGCACTGCGCGCTGCAGCGGCCGCAGGTCTCCCGCGCGACGAGCTGGCAGCCGCGGAGGGGGCGCTGGCTCTCCTGGACGAGGAGGAGGGTGGCCGCCGGGAAGCGCGCGAGCGGCTGCAGGCTGCCGTGCGGTCGGGCGCGGCGCCCGCGCTGCAGGAGGCGATCTGGGCGGCTGGCGCCGCCGGCCTGCCGTGCGAGGACATCGAGACCGCGGAGCGCGCCCTGGCAGCCGCAGGCGCGCGGGCGCGCGTGCAGGGCGCCATGGCAGGCCAGCAACCTCAGGCGCTGCGCGAAGCGCTGCAGCTGGCCGCCGCGGCGGGCCTCCCGCCCGAGGAGGTGGACCCGGCGCGGCGGGCTCTGTCGGCGTTGGAGGCGCAGGAGGCCGAGGAGCGGGCCGCGCGGGAGGCGCTGCGGCAGGCACTGGCTGCACGCCAGGAACCAGCTGTACGGCGGGCGCTGGAGCTCGGGGAGGCTGCAGGCTTGCCGCAGACGGAGCTGGACCAGGCGCGGGGCTTCCTGGACGCGCTCGAGGCGGCCAGGGGGCGGTTGCGGCAGGCGATCAGCGCCGGCGGCGCGGCCCAGCTGTCCAAGGCACTGGAGGATGCGGCGCGCGCGGGCCTCCCCGCCAAGGAGGCCGAAGCTGCGCGATCGCGCCTGCGCGCCCTCGAGGCGGAGGCAGAGCGCGCAGCCCGCCTGGAGGAGCTTCGCAGCGCCAAATTCGGCCAGGACGCCGCGGCGCTGCGGGGAGCGCTGGAGCGCGCAGCCGCGTGCGGCATCGCTGGCCAGGAGCTGGACGAGGCTGGGCACGCGTTGTGGGCGCTGGAGGCTCGCCCGGCCGCGCGCGCGGAGCTGCGGCGTGCAGTGGCGGGTCGCGACGAGGGGGCCTTGCAGGCTGCGCTCGAGGCTGCGGCCGTGGCCGGGATCCCCGACCAGGAGCTCGATGCTGCCTCCCGCGCGCTGCGCGCGCTGGAGACGGCGAGGGCCCAGGAGGGCGCCCGCGGGGTGCTCCGGAGAGCACAGGAGGCCGGGGACCCAGGCGCGATCCGCGCGGCCGTGCATGACGGGGCGACCGCGGGCCTCCCTGCCGAGGAGCTCGACGCCGCGCGCCGGCGGGCCGCCGAGCTTGAGGCGCGCGGCCGCGCGCGCGCAGAGCTGGCGCGGGCGGAAACGGCAGGCGTTTCGGCGCCGCCTGCGGAGGCCAGGGCGGCGCTGCAGAGCGCGCTCCAGCGGGCGGAGATGGCGGGCCTGGGCGCCGAGGAGACCGCCAGGGCGCAGTTGCTGCTCCGGAAGCTCGAGGAGCCTCCCCTGGGCGAGGCCGTGGGGCAAAGAGCTCCGTTGAGCATTGGCACCACTGGCTACGCTGGGAGTGTGCCGCACTCACCCGGCACGACTACCTACGCCGGCGGGTGCGCGGGCTGGCCGCCCGCGGACACCCAAGCGTCCTACGGCGACGTCTCGCCGCCGGTGGACCCGCAGCAGGTGCCGAGAGCGCAGGCCCATCAGTATTGGGTGCCGCAGGGTTCCACCGCGCCGGCCACGCAGCCGCAGCTCACCTACCCCTGGCCGCAGGACGCCCTGCTCTATTTCACACCGTCGCGTCTCGTCGTCGTGCCCCTCGTCGTTTCTCATTCCCGCCTCCGCGCCGTCCCCCTCCTCTCGCGGATCCAGGCCTCCATATGGGGTCCTAGCAGAGTGGGTCGGAGGATCTCGCCGCATCGGCGTTGTGGCGCGATGTGGAGCCCGGTTTTCTCCACCGACGTCTCCGATTCGTCGCCGACGTCGGCGATGCATCGGCGACGCATCGGCGACGCATCGGCGTTGTGGTGCGATTATCCGACCCCATCTACTCGGACCTCATGTGCAGTGCCTCCAGCGGTGGTGGTTGTCACCATGAGAAGCACGAGTAGCCCTCTATCTCATCGCATCAGTTGATGAGCGGCACCTGAGGGAGTGATACGCAACAGCAGCCGACCTCCCACGAGCCCGATTCCCGCTCTAGTTCCCAGTTCTGCGACGGCGGCGGCGGAGGACCAGTCGTCCAGTGGAGGCCAGTGCATCCGTCTCTGCTGTGGCTGGGGGTCCGAAATGGTGTGTCTTCGTCTTCACTTGGGCTTCCCTTTTTCTTTTTACAAGCCTTCAATATCTAAAACCTTTTAGGCATGCCTAGAACTGCCATACCTAAAACTCTGAATCTGCCTTTGTAGCCGTACCTAAAACTCTTCGCATGCTCTTGCGCACGCCTGGTGACCGCATGCGCCCGCGTTACATACGCAAACCTAACTTGGCCTCCCACAGAGACTTAAAAGGAAGCGTGGGCACCAAAGTCTTCGCGCTGTGCCCGCAACGGTGCTCCTACCCTCTTCCTCGTCTTGGGCCTGCAAGTCATAGCCTGGCCGCCGTCACGCCAGGCTTCCTCGCCAGGTGGCGCCCTTTCCAAGGCGACTGTGGCGATGGTGCGACGACGGCGACGACCAAGACGACGACTGCAAGCAGGAGGAGGCCCCGGGCACGAGCTACTCGCAGCTCCGGGCGCCGCCGACCGAGCCGCAGCTGCAGGCGCCGCCCACGAACCCGCAGCTGTCCGTGCCCGGCACGAGCTACTCGCAGGCCAACCGACGACGGCGGCGACGACGACGGCGCCGACGACGTGGACGTCGATTGCAACGCGGGCGGCGTCGGCGGCGACGACGGCGGCTGCGACGGTGGCGTCGACGACGACCTGGACGGCGGCGGCGGCGATGGCGGCGACGAGGACGACGACGACGGCGACGGCGACGGCGACGGCGACGGCGGCGGCGGCGACGGCGACGGCGACGGCGGCGGCGGCGACGGCGAAGGCGACGGCGACGGCGACGGCGACGGCGATGGCGACGGCGACGGCGGCGGCAGCGACAACTGTGACATTTTCTGCGGCGATTTTGACGACGTCGACGACGACGGCGACGACGGCGTGGACGGCGATGTCGATTGTTTCGTAGGGAGGGGGAGGGGCAAGTTTTCCACTCGGCTGTGGTCTTCATGCTGGGGCGCTCTAGGCGGCCCAAGGAGACGCCCAAACCAGCCCAAGGAAGCTACAATATTGCACTAGAGCAGTCCAAAATGGCTCCAATCCGGGAAATGTGAGAGTCGAGTTCTCCAGAATTTGGGTTTCCCGACGCTTTTCGACGGGCCCATCGTGTATGTTGACAGTTCAGTTTTCGTGGGATTGTGACTTGCCATTTTTTTGACGGCCCTTTCAGGCCAACCCGCGTTCCCCGAACCCGAGTCTTACGTCCAGAATGCTACCACAAGATGTTGCCAAGAGGCCCTCCAAATCACCAAGGAGACTGCAAAAGATGCCCCCTCCAGGCCCCACGAGACGCCCAAATCGTTCAAAAGCCGCAAGCCACTGAATGGAATTGGGAAGCTCGCTCTTTCGCTGACGGGCTCAAGACCGCCCAAGAGAGCCCCAATGCAACTCCAAGAGCCCCCCAAGACGGTCCCAGGAAGGCCCAAGTGACCTCCAAGATGGCTCCAGTGCGCCCCAAAACAGTTCAGAGACGCATCAAGGACAGCCTCTGAAGGCGTCAGACGAGCCCGGCAAGCTTCCGCTACGCTTCTGGAGTTCTCAAGACGGCCCTCGGACGGCCCAATTTCGTGCTTGGACGCTCTCAGAACGACCCGAGATATTCTGCAGGCCGACGCCACATCCACCAATCCTTGAATTAGCCGGGCGCCCCAGATTGGGCCATCCTGTCTGTCGCGGAGGCCATCATGGTGATCTTGGAGTCGTTCTTCGATCGTCAAGGGCCGTCTGGGGGCTGAGGAGGAGGGAGGGGGGAGGAGGAGGTGGAGCAAGAGGAGCAGGAGGAGGAGGAGGAGGGGGGAGGAGGAGGAGGAATAGGAGGTGAAGGAGGAGGAGGAGGAGGAGGAGGAGGAGGACGAGGAGGACGCATGACACCCCTAGGCCCCCACCAGGGCCCCCCAGGACCCCCCATGAGAGGTTCATGACCAAGACTGAACGCGTATCATTCTTGCAAATTGGCGACGGCCGACATGGCCCGTGACCAAGATCGGCATCGACAAGATCCTACGACATCTTGGTCATGGTCCCCGTGTCTCTTCCCTCGACTTCCAATTAAACGATGATATGCAAACTATCAACTCGGAGGTCGGCGCAGATTTCTTGGGTCGGCGCTAGACCCCCCTCCGTGGCGCGCGGAGCGCGAGATCCGCGCGGACCTCCGAGTTGTCATGTGTTGTGCCGTTGTTTGGTTCGCTCATGCTTGGCTGCCCTCCCGGTACGAGCCTCTCAGGTGCCCGGCACCGACTACCAGCGGCTGCAGGCGCCTCCGTCGGGGCCGCCGCAGCCGCCGCAGGGCCGGCCGGCCGCGCAGCCCGCGGCCCGCTTCCCGATGCTCGCTGCCTGGTTCGGCTGAGCCGCGGGGGCGGTGCTCGACAGCCAGCTCGGCCGATCTCGAGGGTGGAGCGGGGCGAGGAGGGGCGCCTGTCGGAGGCCCAGGGGTTAGCACCAACACCGATGCTGGCGGTGTGCCTCCACCGAGGGGAGACGATCCCGACGTCGGCGATGGTGGCAACATCTGGGGGTCCTGGGTGGCCCAGAATCTGCACGACCGACATGGGTACGGAAAGAATGGGTACAATGCCCAACAGCAGTTCCTGTTCATTTTGAACAGGACTCGCTGTCCGCGCCGCCGCGGCCTGTATCCATGTGAGACAGAAGGCCGCCTGCCCAACAGCGGCCGCTGTTGGTTTGGGATAACATTTGTTGTTGGGCATTGTACCCATTTTTCCCGTACCCATTTCGGGCGTCCAAAAAAATCCACCAACACCTAAATCTAGGATCAATCTTCCCCTGGTGAAGGACCTCCCCAATGCTGGTGCTGGTGCCGATTTCCAAGCCCCCAAGTTTTCGGGTTCGAGACTATCGGGCCGTTCGTCGGTTCTCGGCGGTTTTCCAGCCTCGGGGTGCGTTGCAGCAGTTGCGCCTCGCAGTGAGCGTTCCAGGGGTGCCCGGATCGTCCCGAACAGCCGCCAGAGACCCGAGTTATGGTCCGCGGACGTGGGGGGGGCGGCCGAGGGCTGCAGGATACGGAAGGTCTGGGCACGCGTGGCGTGGGTCAGCGCTAACGGGGGTCAGCCAAGCCCCCCTGCTCCCACGGATGCTCGCCGCTTGGTTCGACTGAATTTCGGAGCGCTGCTCGATGGCCGTCTCGGCCGATGTAAAGGGGGGAGTTCAGAGGATGGAACGGTACCGATACCGCTACCTTTCCCTCGTTTTCGCCTTCTGTGGAGTAGTGGTATCGGTATGTCTTGAGTTCCCCAGTCTCGGCCGATTTCGAGTGCGGAGCAGGAGGGACAGCAGAAGGGGCGGGCCTTGTCCGAGGGCTCAGAAGGCCTGAGGCCTTCTGAGAGGCTTTCCGAGCCTTCGCGAAGGCCACACGGGGCTTCTCACAAGGCCGGGGGGCTTCGGAGAAGCCCCTCCGCCATCTGAGAAGGCCTGACCCCCCTCACTTCCACCCGGCGCGCCGCCGCGGGAAGTTCGTCGGGCGCCGCGTAATGGGGAGGTCATAAATGGGGGGGCGGCGAGGGTGGTCCGAAAAGGTACCCGAACGGTACCTAAACGAGCCCCCTGGGGCTCCGGAGGGGCCCGAAAGGGGCACGAAAGGGGACCTTTTCTGACCCCCCCCACTTGTGACCCCCGCATTAAGCCACGCCTGAGTTCGGGGCGCGCGTGACAGGGGTCAGCGCGAACGCGGGTCAGCCAATCCCCTCCGATCCCCCCTGAGCGACCCGTGTTCGGGAGCCGCGAGGGGCGGAGCACCTCCCCTTCCCCGGGGGGGGGGCACTTTGCGGCCGCCTGGAGTTCGAGACATGGCGTTGGGTTGACCCGGGATTGCGTGTCCCCGAGAGGAGAGGAGAGAGGATCGGCGATTGCCAAGGACGTGGTTACGCCGGGGTGTGGCTTGCGTTCTGCGTCGTTGGGGTTTCGGGGGCACCACGCTGCCCTCGTTGGGCCTCCTCGGGGTGCGGCGAGAAACTCTGTCGAGGTCCTGGCCCACCCCGAGGGTGCGGATTGCAAACCGCATCCTTTGGGAACCACAACTTTCGAAGTCGCCGAAGAGAAGGGCGAGGATCAGGAGGGAACAGAAATGCCCAGACACAACTAATCATCGATTGCCATGAGAATATGGAAACTATGGGAAGTGGAGGGGAAGACGAACATCCAGCAAACTGTGGACAGATCTGGGGAGTCCTGGGATCGGTGCCCATCTGTGTGTGTGTGTGTGTGTGTGTGTGTGTGTGTGTGTGTGTGTGTGTGTGTGTGTGTGTGTGTGTGTGTGTGTGTGTGTGTGTGTGTGTGTGTGTGTGTGTGTGTGTGTGTGTGTGTGTGTGTGTGTGTGTGTGTGTGTGTGTGTGTGTGTGTGTGTGTGTGTGTGTGTGTGTGTGTGTGTGTGTGTGTGTGGTGTGTGTGTGTGTGTGTGTGTGTGTGTGTGTGTGTGTGTGTGTGTGTGTGTGTGTGTGTGTGTGTGTGTGTGTGTGTGTGTGTGTGTGTGTGTGTGTGTGTGTGTGTGTGTGTGTGTGTGTGTGTGTGTGTGTGTGTGTGTGTGTGTGTGTGTGTGTGTGTGTGTGTGTGTGTGTGTGTGTGTGTGTGTGTGTGTGTGTGTGTGTGTGTGTGTGTGTGTGTGTGTGTGTGTGTGTGTGTGTGTGTGTGTGTGTCCCTGGGCCCCCTCGAGGACGAGGAGGAGGGAGAGAGGCTCAGAGCAGGCGGAGCGCCAGGCAGGCAGCGGCAGGGAGCGGGCATGAGTCAGGAGGGAAAGAAACACACAGACACAACGAATCGTCGATTCCCAAGAACATATGGGAAAATATGGGAAGTGAGGGGGGAAGACGAAAACCAAAAAAAAAATGGGATAATGTAGGGGATATGTTTATCTGTGTGCCCTTGGGCCCCTTCAGTGAGGAGCGTCAGAGGCATGGTGGAGGAGGGGGCAGCAGGAGGCCCGCACGCGGCCCCCCCCGGCGCCCGCCGAAGTCGGGGAAGCGCAAGACTCGAGTTCGGCAGAACTCGGTCGGGCCGGGCGAAAGGGGGGGATTGGTTCACCCCAGAGGCCCTCGTGGGGCTCCTCCTGGGGGCGTCAGTCGACCGTGGGTTTTTGAACTTCGCGGGTGGAGCGAGACTCGACCGAACAGCGTGAAACGCGAAGCATATCGAGCCAACCTGGGGGAAACCAAAATGTTGGCCTCCCTGAGGGCCCTCCCGGGGCGCGTCTTGGAAGCATCTCGGGCCGGGCGAAAGGGGGGGATTGGGAAAGGGGGGGTTACGAAATCTGCTGCATGCGGCTGGTTTCGGCCTCACCGAGGGGCCCGTTCCTCGATACGTGGCCGCCTCCGGCGCCGGGAGGCGCCGGGAAAATCAGCCACGTGAGCCGATTCTCAAACCCCCCCTTTGCTATCCCCCCCTTTCGCCCGACCTGACTCGGGCTCGACGACGCCGCTTCTTGACGAGCTCGTCTTGGATTTCGACCGCCCAGTCTTCGTGGGACGTCTGCAGCCACAGCTCTCGCGTCCGATTTCAGACTTGGTCTGCAGGCATCTTCTTGGCGGCCCCGCCGGGCCCATCCGAGCCCCCTGGGCCCGAGTCCTGCGTCTCCCCGATCCAATCGCGGCGCGCGGGCCCAGCCGGCGCTGCCTTCCGCTTGTCTGCCTGGCCGTGTCCCGCTGCTCTCCGTCGTCGACGTCTCCGCCTCGAAGAGCCAGAAGCGGCATGAACATAAATGTGCGGAGAGCCGCGCTGAATTCTTGTATCGGCGTTGCGCCCCCCTTGGCGGCGCCTCTCGCGCCGCCCCTGGCGCGCTCCGCGCGCCAGGGGGGGGGGAGGGGGTCCAGCGTTGCAGCGCAGATCCAACAAGTCCGCGCGGCCCTCCTCGAGTTTGTCGTGATGCAGTTGTTTGTTCCTCTACCGTCGTCGATGTCTCGCGAGCGGCGATCGGACTTCCTCGCGAGGGAGGGAGGGTTGCCGAGCGGATCGCGCCGCTAGCGGTTCCTCAAGGTCGACCTCCAGGGCACCGTTTTTGCTGGCCCTGGCTCGGGATATAGCAATCCATGAAGAGCACCATCCAGGACGGACCCCAGACGGGGTCTGGGAATTGGTTTTGAGCTGCCTTCTGATGGCCTCCGGGGTCTCGTTATTCTGAGGCCAAGGGGAGAAAAGCATCAGCAGCAGGGGAAGGCAGGGCGAGTCGGGAAGGGGAGGAAGAGGGGGCTGAAACAAGGGGATGACGAGGAAGGCGGAGCAAGGATGACAGAGCTCGCCCAGTGCTAAACCGTCGCCTACCAAACGACCTCCCCAGAACCCTTCTTCTATTCGGCATTTCCTGAAGCTCCGAGGCGCCATTCTCTGACGTCCCAGTCCACTGATAACGCACGCAGCGCCGCGGCGACCACCTCCCCTCCCCTCCGCGCTTGGAGGGCCCAGTGGGTCCCGCAGGCATTCCCTTTCACCCAAAGCATATGCCCCCGCGCAGGCCTCTGTTAAGGGCCTTCGCGCCATGCACACTGGAAGTCACCGAGGACACCGCGAAGCGATGTCCCCGCGGTGCGCGACGGCGCTCGGACGACAATCTCCATCCGCGAGTGGCTCCGGCCCCCCTCCCGCGCCGTCCTTCGCAGGAGGCGCTCCCCGCAGGCGCGCGGAGGGATGCTTTCCGGTCCTGTCCTCCAGGCCTCCCAGATTGAAGATGGGGCTGGAGCAGATGGGGTCGGGGAGTCGCCTCGCGTCGCCGATGCAGTGCTCACAGCGCCCCAGGCTCACTGTTGAAGCACAGTGCTGGCAGGCATTCCCTGCCAGGCGGAGCACTCAACACACATGACCCAGGTTGAAAAGGCAGAGGCAGACAGTGGGGGTCGGGGGATCGCGCCGTCTCGCCCTCGCCGATGCATCAGCGATGCGGCGCGATCCTCATACCCCATCTGCTCTGGCCCGAAAGAGGAGCCCTCCACTAGAGGAACAAAGTTGTGCCAAAACGCAGACTTTCGAAGGTCCGCGCGGATTTCTTGGATCGGCGCTGGACCCCCTCCCTGGCGCGCGGAGCGCGCCAGGGGCAGCGCCAGAGGCGTCGCCAGGGGGTTCGAGCGCAGATCGAAGAAGTCCGCGCGGCAACCCGAAGGTTTGTATTCATGCAGTTGTGTCTTCTTCGGTCCGCCTCCCCTCATCTATCAACGTTTCGCCCGCTGCTGGGGCTCGCCATGACTCGAATGAAGGTGGCAGAGGCATGCGCAAAGCAAGTGCAATGGCAAACGTAATCACATGCATGCGGTGATCGCCCCACCGCCTCCCTGCATTGGATGACGGCTGCTTCTGCCGCCGGGTCTCCAGACGGAGACGGCAGAGAAGGATATGCAGTTTCTTATCTACGCCGTCTTTGTTTGCGCAGTTGTCTACGTCACCGCCAGGGGCGCCGAGATAATCGCGCTTCACGCATGGCGGCTTGGATTCGCGCCGCGCCCTTCTCCAGGGCGGAGGCGCGAGGGCGCGAAGATGACCGCGCACCGCGGGGCGCGGTGCGCGACATCGGGCGACCTGGGCCCCAGGTGGTTTCCTCGCCGATCCGCCTCCCCCCTCCCGTCCCCTCCCCGCTGCTGTCAATGCACGCACTCGGGCGCACAGGCGCCCGGGGCCCCCTCTGAGCGACGGCCGCGAGCCCGGCTCGAGCCTTCGGGCCGCCCGCGGCGGGGCGCGAAAGCGACGGCGGCGGCGGCCGCGACGACGGCGACGAGGACGAGGACGAGGACGACGACGACGAAGTCGACGGTCCCGACGGCGAGTGCGGCGACGGAGGCGTCGGACGGGGGCGCGAACGAGTGGGAGAGGGGGGCGGTCTGAGGCAGCGGCAGTCGGCCTTTGGGGGGGGGGCGTCGTTCTGGGCCGCTCATATGCAGGGCTCGTTTCGATTCTTCCGGTTCAATGCGATTCGATTTCGATGGCTTCCGATTCCGATTCGATTTGGGATTCCGATTTGGGCTCTGATTTCTCAATGGAGGCTTACTAGCCTGCCGATTTCCGCCGATCCGATTTTTTCGGACTCGGCTGCCGATTTCTGCCGATCCGATCTATTTCGATCGCCGATCCGATTTATCGATTGAATTCTGGGGCGGATCGCGCCGCGTCGTCAGTGCATCGGCGACGCGGCTCGATGTGCAGCCCGATTTTCTCCACGCCGACGGCGCCGATGAGTCGGCGATACGTCGGCGATGCGGCGCCATCCTCCGGACCCATCTTCTCGGACCCCATGTGGGAGGCCTCTCTCGAGAGAAGTCGAGTTGAGACAACGGTGATTGGCCTCCGGGGGGGGGGGACCATCGCCGCCAGGGCAGGACGCAGCTCGGAAAAAGCTGGTGCGTTGTGACCCGGGAGGGGTTTCGGGACCGATTTTGAGTTGCCGTTGTGTCAACTCGCCCTGCTCCGAGAGTGGGAAAGGAAAGAGGAGGAGGAGGAGGAGGAGGAGGAGGAGGAGGAGAGGAGGAGTAGGAGGAGGAGGAGGAAAGAGGAGAAGGAGTAGGAGGAGGAGGAGGAGGAGGAGGAGGAGGAGGAGAAGGACTGTGCAGCTTAGTTGCCTCCCACCGGTCCCATCGAGGACGATCTCGGGTCGTCGAAGGTCTGCTGTGACTGCCCTCAAAGACTTACGGAAGAGGTTTGCTCTCTCCGCTCCATCTACGAAAACCATGAAACAGCATACCGAGCATCTCCTCGCCCTCATCGGTACATTCCCCTGGGAGCTTGGTTGGTGCAAGTCCGGTTGAAGGGTACGCAGAGAGACCAGAGCTCGGGAGGCGCACGTGCGGGTAACATGCACGGTGGGCTTGAGTTTGGCGACGTTGTCCACGCCAGCAGACAAGGCCAGCCTTTCGAAGACCACACACCAAGTTACAAAACTGCGCGTTACCAGCCGACGCTCGCTTGCGATGCGCCGGAGGTCTCGAGCGCTACTCGCGGCCGGGCCCTCCCTAAGCTCGGAGGGGCTCGATGTACACGCCCTTTTTCTTGTCGGCCAACGTCCTCCAGAACCGCCAGATCGTGGAGGTCCCCGAGTTGTCCTGGTCCGATTCTGTCCCAGTCCTGGTGTATACTTCGAGCCCCTCCCACGACGCTACGCTCCCCGTCTCCCCGCCCTTCTCTTGCGCCGCATGGCCGCCAGCCGCCTGCTGGGCGCCACGCGCTGCGCGGCCCTGCCCGCAGTGGGCCGGAGGGCGATCACTGTGGTGAGCCGCGGCCCGTGGAGCTTCGAGTTCGAGGCGAAGGGCGCCGTGCTCCACGCGCAGTGCCGCCGCCGACGACAGCCCACGGCGGCCACGCCTCCGAGGACGAGAGGGCACCGCTGCCGCTACCCCTCCCTCGTTTTCGTAGTTTGGGGGCCTGCTGGGAGGCCCTCGTCGCCACGACGCAGGATGCGTCTTGAAGCCCTTGTCAGAGTGCACTTTGGGAGAGGTCGGGGGAATACCGGCATCGGCACGTACCTGCTGGTTCCCCCAACGATTCGGCTATACGTACGAGTGACCTTTCGCCGGAGTGACCTTTGGTGCGGGCACAATGGGGTCCCCCGATCACCGATTGCGATGCGATAGTACCGTCTTGCGCGCTTGTGTTTGGTCCCCCCGCGGTCCCCAAAAAGCCGCGCACCAAAGGTCACTCTTACCCAGGGTCACTCTTGCGCGTAGCCGAACGATGGCCACGACGACGACCAACGGCAGCCGCACGGCCGCGGCCACGGCCACGGCCACGGCGCGCGTCCGGCAGGTACGGGCTGCCGCCGAAGCTGCCGTGCCCCCAGGAGGCCATCGCCGAGTGGTCCGGGCCGATCGCGGACGAGGTGCGCCGCGGGCCTACCGAGCTGATGGGCAGCTCCTCGGAGCGGACCCTGCGGAGCTCCGGGAGGGGTCAGCACTGGATAGACCGACCCCCATCCCACTGGGAAACCGCTGTTCTCTCCGTCGGGTTTGTGACACCTATACCACCTGAGAGGGGGGGGGGAAGCGACGGGGATAGAGGCAGCGAAGCTGAGAAGAGCAGTGAGCAGTCTTTCGCCACGGATTGATTTTGCGGGTCTCAGGGCCGAAGACAAGCCCCTGGATGCCGAAGCCACAACGGCGCAGGCAGCAATGCCTCCGCGACGTCCGATGATGTTGTGACCAGGTGATGTAGTGCTGTTCCTTCTTGATTTCTCTCTCTGGTGGCGCCAACTGCCACCCTGCACATCCCCGCCAGGCCAGGGGCTTGCATGGTCAGGGTTCCATGTTCCTGGTGTCTCGTTGGGAGGTTCTTGGAGGGCAAAAAGGATCAGACGAGGGGAGGCATGGGCATCGGGTGATAAGGAGGTTGAGGTGTAGGGGGGAAGAACCAACTGCTGGCGAATGCGGTGGGTGTGACGGTTGATTGCAGAGTCGTGGGCGGAGACGAACAGACCGGCGTTCTTCGTTTCCAAGTTCAGGGTGAAGGGATGGTTTTGGCAAAGTTCGGGCAGTTGGAATTGAAAGCTGCCCATGGGCACACACAGCAGGGCACCCAGTATCTGGACTTCTACGTCAAGCACCTTGTGCGAGCTGGGTTTGCCGTGGGAGGGTTGCTGAGAGAAGACGATCACACGGAGGCGATGCCTCCCGCGCAGTGTCTTCGGCACGTTTCCCTTCTCCGAGCTGGGCATCGTCAGTATGCATCTGTCATCCCGGTTGCGGAGACAAGCACCGAATGAAGACCCGTGCTCGGGATGAGGTCGGTCGTCGGTCGGTAATGATCGTGCGGTTTGCTTCTGCGTTCTGTGATTGGATCCAAAAAGGACAGTTCTTGGCGCTCCTCGTTTCCCCGCCAGCCCATCCGGCAATCGAAGCCCAAGCTGGGATCAGCCCCAGCAGCCCCCATGCATGGCCAAGTTAGGGTCCTTTGGGCGCCCCCATCGGGCCGTCTTGGGTCCCTCTGGAGGCCGTGCTTGTGCGTGCGGGCGTGACGATGCCAGCCGGTACCGCTGCCCGTCCCTCGTCGCCACGGCCAGGGGCTCTCTTGGGGCCCTCTTGGGCCGTCCTGGTTCGCTCTTGGGTCGTCCTGGGGCGGTCTTGGGGCCTTTTGTCCGTCCTCTCGTGGTGTCCTTCTGGGGGCCTTTTGGGGCCTCTCTCGGCCGCATCGTGTCTAGACGAGCTGGAGCTGCCGTTCGTGCGGCCGTGGTCGTTTTGGTTTGATTGTTTGCGTTGCTTGCCTGTTTGTCTGTCCAGTGGAGACAGGCATTTGCCTGCCGTGTGGGGGCCTGAGGCAGGCCATCGGCAGAAACATACGGGTCCAAAATTCGGCTCCCCGCTTCGGGCCCCGCCTTGAGGCCCATCGGAAGCGACGGGGCAAGTAGGCAAGCGGTGTCGGCGAATGGTTTCGCCTTGACACATATGCGTCATTGTTTTTTCCCCCTTGCCCGACTCCTATGATATCGCGGGATGGCGCAGAGCCTTCGGGGAACCCCTTGGGCGACCGACACATTTTCGCACCACCGAGCCCTCCCGACTCCTGATCCTATGCTTGGGGGCAGGGGAAGATGAGCGTCACATACAAGCACGATGCGCACTTTTGCCCGCTCCAGGTGATGTATCGTGTTGCTGATGTATCGTAGCAACCTTCGTGGGTTCAGCAACGGTGGCTCAAGCCAAGCCTGAGCAATACTTCTCCGACTGCTACTTCACCTTCGTACGTACGCGAGCGATCTTCTCCAGATCCGTTCTGAGAGATGGCAGCCAATCTGGTACCCTGGACCATGCGGTCTGTTGTGCCAATTGCCCACAGCGTGCAGCCGCGATTTCCATCACTGTGCAGACGACCGCGTCTGATTGGGCGTTGCTACATCGAAGGCATGCGTCAACAGTGGAGCCGTCTTTGGGTCCTGGGTCGCTTTTGGGCCGTCTTGGGGCCTGCTGTCCGTCCAGTTACTTTGAACGGAGGTCACAGGCAACCGTGCTACGTCCGCCGCCGGTTGTATCTCAAGCGGCGCGCCATTAGAATATGACTTCCTCGTTGTGTAGATACTATCGCAACGGAGCAACGGAAAAGGAATCGAACCAGATCCTTCGAGGATGCACCCTCCGGCCCCATCCCGTATTATTCATTGGCTTACGCCACACCGCCGAACTTTTGGGGCGCAGCAATCGTCCCCCGCGTGGCCTGTCTGGACACCCTGTGAGGCCCCTCTCGACACGTTTCGGAGCCCTCTTAGGACCGTCCTGCCGTTCCCCCGGGCCGTTGAAGTGGTTTCTGGGGCCTTCGTGGGGCGCCCGGAGGCCGTCGTGGAGTTTTTTGGGAGAGTCTCTCGGGGTGCCAGAGGTCGATCTTGGAGGTTTGTTGGGCCGTTGTGGGCCTCGTGGAAGCCCAAGAAGCGAATGTGCTGAAAATGAACGTTTTCACTAGGGAATGGGACGGTTTTTGCTTCTGGAGGCCTGCTTGGAGCGCCTCGTGGTCGCGTATGCAAGCGTCTTGGTCGCCCATGGGGCCATCTGGAGGCAATCTTGGGCGGTTTGGACCGAATCGTCCCCCGCGTGGGCCGTCCGGGCAGCCTTCGGGAGCCCTCTTGGCCCGTTTTGGAGCCCTCTTGGGACCGTCCTGCGGCTTTCTAGGGCCGTTGCTATGGTTCCTGGAGCGTTCGTGGATCGCCAAGAAGCCGTCTTGGAGCTTTCTTGGGAGCCTCTTCGGGTGACAGGGGACGATTTTGGAGGTTTATTGGGCCATTGTGGGCCTCGTGAAAACCCAAGAGGCGAATGTGCTGAAAGTGTACATTTTACCTAGGGAATGAGACGGTTTTGCTTGTGGAGGCCTGTTGGAGGCGCCTTGTGGTTGCGTTTTCAAGCGTCTTGGACGCCCATGGGGCCGTCTGACAGCGATCTTGGGCGATTTGGACCGAATCGTCCCCCGCGTGGGCCGTCCTGACAGCCTTTGGGGGCCCTCTTGCCCCCCCTCCAGATCCAGGGGGAATGGGTAAGGGGAGGGGTAAACCCCTCCCCAAAGGGGAAGAAGCGGGTTAGAAGAGGAAGCTTTGCAAACCACTCGCGCCTTAAAGGGCTGGTGGTATTTCCATTGTCTCTACTGCAAGCTTTGAGACGAATATGCGCGGCGCCAAGGCTAGAGGTCCTTTTTGAAAACACGTCCTCCTCCATTCGCATAAACGCTGCAATTCAAAGCTTCACAGTGAAGGCCTTGCGGCCGGTGCCGCCGAACCTGCATGCGAGGAGGACAGGGAGTGGAAAAGGTGGATGAGGAGGGGGCGGGCCTCTTGGGTTTTTGGGGCCTGTTTGGGGTCTTTCAGGAGCCTCCTGAGTGCCTCTTAGGTCATCCTGGATGCCTCTTTGGGGCCTCTAGGGTCCTTTTGGGGGGCCTCTTGGGGCCTCCTGGGAGGCTCTGGGGCCGAAGGTTCTAAAGCTTCTTTCGAGTCCCCCGTGTGGGCACGCTCTGGGAGCCGTCTTGGAGGCCTCCTGGGCCGTCTTGGAGACCTTTTGGGATGTCTGTCTGGGAGCCCTCTTGGGGCGATTCGGGAACCTCTTGGAAACTTCTGGGGCTATCATAGGGCGATCGTGGAGGCCTCTTGGAGCGTCAGGAAGCCGAGAAGGCGAAAACACCAACATCCTTCAAACCCAAATGACAATATATGATTTGAACTTTTTGGAGCCCTTTTCGGAGTGCTCTTGGAGGCCTTGTGGAGCGTCTGGGAGATGTCTTGGACCGTCTGGAGGCCATCTGTCGCGTATGGGATTGATACTTCGGCGGTCCGCTGCCCTCTTGGACTGGACCTTCTTGGAGGCCTCTAGGGGCACAATTTGCCTGTGTCGGGTTTTTCTGGCCCCTGGGACCTCCTGGGACGGAATGGTATTCTGATCCGGGACCCCACCCCAGGACCCCCCCTGGCGGGGAAGGGATCAATGGGAAGGAGCTTCCCTGCGACTCAACTACGAAGTTGCTCAATCTCGACTTGGCTGGCGCGCCTGAGGAGGAGGGCCCAGGGAAAGGGGGGAGCGGCGACGGCGACGGCAACGTCGACGACGACGACAAACAGAAGCGTCGGACCCCTCCCGGGGCACCCCCACCCTGGAGGGGAAGGGGTCGTAAGGGAAGCCGCTTCCTTCGACTCGACTACGACGTTGCTCAATTTCGGTTTGGCTAGAGCGCGTAAGGAGGGCTCAGGTAGAGAAGGAGCGACGTCGACGGCGACGACGACGAGGACGAACGGACGAGCGTCTTCCACACGCCGACAGGGTGGGCGGACTTTTACAAATAGAGAGGACATCTGAGTCGAAACGCCCAGCCGCCGTAATTACCGACACGTCTGATGGTGAGGAATGATAGAAAGAGGTTGAGGAGGAGGAGGAGGAGGAGGAGGAGGAGGAGGAAGAGGAGAAGGAGGAGGAGGAGGAGGAGTAGGAGGAGGAGGAGGAGCAGCAGCAGCAGCAGCAGCAGCAACAGGAGAAGCAGGAGGGAGGGAGGAAGGTTTACCGCGCCCGCGGGAGCCGCCCTCCGAAGCGGCAGCGAAGAGGAACGCCGCCTGCGTCCTGCGCTTCCTGGACGACGTGCAGTCCGCCGCCGCGGGCCTCGCCAGGCACCCCTGGCGAAGGGCCCAGCCGCTCTCGCGCGAGGGAGTCCGGGCCAGCACCCCTTGGGCGTCGGCGCGGCGCGGGCTTCGACGGAGTGCGGAGGTTCAGGATGAGGGTTCCGGGTCGTTTCGGAGGAGCACGCGTCGGTCGTACACTGCTGGGGCGGATCGGGAGCATGTGGAATACCTTCCCCTGATGAGGGCTCCACTATCACGGGATGACAAGCCATCCCGACCCGCAGAGTTGGCGTTTATTACACGGCCCTGGGCGTTTATGAAACAGCCTTGCCCTGTTCGAATCCTGCCCGGGCTGCGTTTGTCAAACGGATCTCAATTGCATCGTTTGTCGGGGTGCTGATTGTGCGGGTGTTGTTTATGCTCTTTACACTCGGGATTTGCCCTAGGCCTCAGGAGACGTCCTGGGCCCTCTTGGGCAAGCTGTCTCGGGTTTGGTTCGGGAAGCCTTCCAGACCTGCCGCAAGCAATGACTGTGGAGCTCGGAGACAGAGAGAGAGAGAGAGAGTGGGCCTGCGGGATGAGGGCGAGGTCTTCGAGGTGATGTCTCTACCCGAGGCATCTCTGTGGACAGCTGGTCGCTGCTCGCTCACCAATGTAGCGCGTGCTTGACAACTCCAACCAGTGCTCCGCTCCCCATCGTGTGGTCGGGGAGCCGTGGGGGGAGGAGGAGGTGGAGGAGGCACAGCAGGGGGTATCCAAACCTGTTGCGCTGAGGCCGAACCTGCTGGTGACGACCTAGACACTGGGCTGGCGCAGAAATGACCTCGGACTGGCTAGGCTGGGGGGGGCATTCCTGGAAAGCTCGCGCCACATTCCTTACCCCTTACGGAGAAGCTAGCTCTCGCTCGTGAAGCCGCCTGCCTCAGCGTCCGAGGGGACAGGGGGAGTAGAGGCGGGAGCGGCGGCAGGCATGCCCTGAATCCCTCCTCCATCCCCTCCCCCCCTTCCCCTCCACGTGCTCCTCCGCCCTTCTCCGTCCTCCTGCTCATGCTCCCTCCCCGCTCATCCCCTCTGACAGACTCTCCCTCCAAATCCCTCCTTGTCACCCCCCTCTCCCCGCGCCTGCGTCCTCCCCATCCTCCCTCCCCGCTCCCACCCACCGCCCACCATCCTCCTTCTCTCTCCCTCATTCGCCTTGCCCCTGGTCCTCACTCCCCCTCTGCCTAAGTTGTGCGCAGATGTGCGAAGATGATTGCGCTTCCCCCTCGTCGCGGCCTTCGCCAGGGGGGTGCTTTCTCCAGCCCGCGCCCGAGAGCGCGAGGAGAACTCGCGCTGCTGCGCGAAGCTCAACGATGGGTGACCTAGCGATACGGCTCGACCTGGAGCCAGATGCGTGCGATGCATTGGCGATGCTGGTCGATCTGGAGCAAGATGTTCTCCATCCGGCGTTGCTGATGCATCGGCGATGCAGTGTGATCGATCATCTGACCCCATCCGCTCCAGCCCCGCTTAGGGTCCTCCAAAGTGGAACTTTGTAAGCTGGAACATTGGCGCGCCTGAGAAAACTGCAGCCGTAGGTTGCATTCTCAAAGTCCTGGTGAGCAATTTCCTGATTTGGAGGGCTCACACCCGCTTGGGCGGCCTCCTCCACCAGTTCTCCGCTTCCCCGCCCGCGCGGCCAGTCCCGCCAGGCAGGAGAGGCCGATGGAGGCGCTGGTGCTCAGCGCAGGGAGGCCGACGCCACCGCGCCGCCGCGCCCCGCGCCGCTCGGGCTGGGTGCATCGCCGTCGTTGTCGGCGCGGTCGACGTCGGAGAGTGTGCTAGGTTTTCCCAACCAAGGAGGAGAGTGTGCTGGGTGACACGGCGTTCTGGACGGGTGCTAGGCAGCGGCTGTTCCCAGGGGGCTTTTGCGCAGCACTGGAGGGTAGTGCCGGCACTGATTCACAGAGCTCTTGCACCGCGCACCGCGGCTGGAGGATTATGATGATGAGGAGGAGGAGGAGGAGGATTAGCGCAAACCCAAGACTCATCAACGATGTTGAAATACACCATCTCTCCAAGATCCCTCTTCATAGGCCCCCATATGGGGCTGTTTCCACTGAGGGAGTTGCCCCGTTGGGGGGCAACCGTGTGAACATTTTGAATTGTGCTAAAAAACATTCTCAGGATTTCAACGCCACGAGTTAATCTGACTGTCACGTCTTGGTCACCGTGAATCGCGCCAGAGCACCATTCCTGAGACTTCACCTCCGCAAAGCAACGTAACTGATGAGCCCTGACAATCCTGAACCGCTCCAAACGAAATTTCTCATACGGTATCCATGAGAACCAGTGAATTCTTGAACATGTGTTAAACGAATGTGCGCGGCGCTTAAGACGAGAGCCACATTTTGAAAACGATCCACCCTCAATCCGTGAAGCTCTCCAACTCTTAAAACGAATGCGCGCGGTGCTGAGGCGAGTACCCTATTTTGAAAACGATCCGCCTTCAATCCGTGAAACTCTTGCAAATGTTTAAACCGAATGTGCGCTACGCTGAGGCGGCATCAACATTATGAAAACGAGCCGCCCTCATTCCGTGAAGCACTTGCATGTTTAAAACGAATGTGCGTTGCGTTAATGCGAGAGCCACATATTGAAAACGGCCCACCTTCAATCAGTAAAACCCTTGCATGCTTAAAACGAATGCGCGCTGCGATAAGGCGAGAGCCACATTTCAAAAACGATCCGCAGTCCTTCCGCGAAGCTCTTGCAATATTAAACCAATGTGCACGGCGCAAAGGCGAGAACCACATTTGGAAAACAACCCACCCTCAATCTGTAAACCCGTGCATTTTGTTAAGATGAGTGCGCGCGGCGCTAAGGCGAGAGGCACATATTTAAAACACCTGCCCTCCATCTGTAAACAAGTCGTCACGGTTTTTAAAGATGAGGTTCGTATTGAGGAAGGCCTAGGCGAAACGCCCAGCCCGCCTTTTCGACCAGCCTCGGGGAGCGACAGGGAGATTTATCTATAAGGGGAAGGAATGGAAAATTATGTATCCTAGGAGGAGACGGAGGAGGAGGAGGAGGAGGAGGAGGAGGAGGAGTAGGAAGAGGAGGAACATGATTTGGAGACATCCAAGGAGGAGGGGGAGGAAGAGGAGGAGGAGGAGGAGGAGGAGGAGGAGGGGAAGATCGGGCTCGGTTTTCCTAGCCGGGGGGAGGTCAGAAGATTCGGGGGTCTCCAACCGAAGATCAAAGAGCCACACGAACAGAAATCCAAGTGGATTTTTTGGATCGGCGTTGGGCTCCCTTGGCGCCGCCCCTGGCGTGCTTCGCGCGCCAGGGAGGGGGGGCTCAGCGCCGATCCCAGAAATCTGCGCGGACCTCAGAGGAATTATCCAGTGGCGCAGCCGCGCGATTCCGCCACTTCGCTCTGTCGGGCCCGGGGGGGGGCACTGGGGGGCGGGATGTGGGGATTCTCCACGGACCACCTTTCTTCCAGCGTTGTGTTTGGGATCATCTTTTGTTTGGAAGGCCAAACACGCAGGGACCTGGTCACACAAATGGATGCAGCTTGGGCCCGATGCGTCGGGGGGGCCCGAACTGTTTGCTTGCTTCGCAAAAAGCAAAATGGCCCAACGCACACCAACCGCTGCAAGCGCGGTGCTGGACTTTCATGCAGCTGTTTGTCCCTCTACCCAAGACGGTGCGGTGACCGCACCGTGTGGTGAGCCATTGTAAGTTCGGGATGGCCGCACGGTTTTGGGACGTCGGTCGTTCTCCGTGGATGTCTCGGGCGGCTGGTGCTTCTGGAGTCATACAACCGCGCGGCGATGGACTGTGCGGTGAGCTTGTCGGGGATTCCGAGGTCTCCGCACGGTCTGTCACAACACGTTTTCAGGATCTCCAGAAGATATTTGCGGCAGATTCGCATCGCGTCGACGCGGCGGCGACCCCGCCGCGGGCGTTGAAGGTTAAACTCAGCCCGTGACCCAGAATCGGTCGATACGGGACGATCTGGCGATCGACAAGTTGCCGATCGTTCGCGGTTGAACGATCCAGGGTGTGTCAGAAAGTAATGTTGGGGTCGTCACGACAGGAACTTGGTGATCTAGTCGCCAATCCCCCCGCCGGGAAGATATGTCCTTCAGATGCGAAAGAGCGTGTTCTACCGCTGCTGGCGGAAAACCGGGGGGGGTCACTACCGGTTCGAACCCCTACCCCCCCTTCCTCCGGAAAACCGGGGGGGGTCACTACCGGTTCGAACCCCTCCCCCCCCCCCCCCCAGCTCATCATGAAAAGGGGGGGGGGTCACTACCGGTTCGAACCCCCCCCCCCCCCTCGAAAACCGAGTGGGGGTGCGGACAGTGGTGGGGACGGTGTTGGTGGGGACAGTGGTGAGGGGACAGCGGGACAGTGGTGGGGACAGTGGGACAGTGGGACAGTGGGGACGGTAGTGGTGGGGACAGTGGTGGGGACAATGGTGGGAACAGGGGGGACAGTGGACAGTGGTGGGAACGGTGGTGGTGGGGACAGTGGTGTGGGGACAGTGGGAATGAGGTGGAAACACTGGGACAGTGGAGGGTACAATGGTGGTGGGGACACTGGTAAAGGCGTCGGCGAGGACGGCGGTGGGACAATGGGACAGAGGTACAGTGGGGACAGTGGTGGGGACAGTGGGGACAGTGGTGGGAACAGTGGGACAGCTCAGTGGGACAGCGGAGGAGTCAGTGGGACAGTGGGGACAGTGGGGATAGGCAGTGGTTGGGTCCGTGGAGACAGTGGGGAGAGTGGAACCGTGGTGGGAACAGTTGTGGGAACAGTGGGGACAGTGCGACAGTGGTGGGGGCACTGGTGGGGACAATAGGGACGGTGGTGGAACCAGCGGGGGCAGTGGTGGTGAGGACAGTGGTGCTGGGAACAACAGTGGGGGATGTCATGCGAGCGGTGGTAGGGACCGGGAGTCGTTTGCTGGCGGTGCGTGGGGGGGGGGTCGAACCGGTAGTGACCCCCCTCCGGTTTTCGAGGGGGGGGGGGGGTCCAACCGGTAGTGACCCCCCCGGTTTTCCAGATCCGGAGGGGGGGGGGGGGGGGAGGGGTTCGAACCGGTAGTGACCCCCCCCGGTTTTCGGGGGGGGGGGGGGGGGGGGGGGGGGGAGGGGGAGGGAGGGGGGGGGGGAAAGGGGTTCCAGCAGGGGGGGGGGGCATTTTCGGACGGGGGGGGGGGGGAGACCCCCGGGCTCCGGACGAAAAGGTTGGCAATTTTCCACAGTAAAGCGGCGGTGGATCACGCTCTCTCTCAGATGCGCATCTAGATGCTCATCGCCGCGCTAGAAAAATGCTTATACATCATTGCCCATGTAGATACCCTACCTTCAGCTGGACAGATGCACAGATGCCCGTCATATGACTAAATACCTTGATGGGCATATGTGTATCCAAATGATGGGCCATGGGGGATGTTCGAAACGGCTGGACTTGTTTCGCTTCCAGGAGGCCCACGCCAGAAACGACAGAAGTACCCCAGAGCACCTGGGATGTGTTATACCTCGATGGTTTTCAGGATCCTACAATCCCTTTCTCTTTCTCCTCTCATTCCTCCTTGCCCTCTCTTATCTCACGTTGTGTATAATTTGTTGTGGCCGTTTGTGCCTCCGCATTCACGGACCCGACATGTTTGAGGGCGACGTCCTATACGTGCCATCAGACGCTTGTTGTTCCTTCAATTTCAGCTCCTCTTCCTGGGCGTGCTGCTGTTTATCTGTTATACTTCTCGTCGCCGCCCCTTCCTCCTTCTTCCCCATTGTACGGAAACTGCCTGGGCAATTATTTTCACGGGTGATGATTGGTGTCGTTGTTTGGGTGCCCCATGTGTCTGTTCTCCCAGGCCAAGGTCTGTGCAAGAGTTTGGCTCTCGCAGGTCCGCATGTGTGGCGTGCTGGGTTAGCTTGGGGATTTTTTGAATCGCATCGTGGTTATTTGTGTTGCAATCTCCTGTCATTTGGCTCATCGTGCGAACGGCGAGCATCGAAACATGTGGATTTCGTCAGCGGTATATTGTGGAGTCACCTCCCCATATCTCAGACATTGGCACTTATCATGACAGCTTTCTTTGATGAGGAACGGACTGTCACATGATAATATCACGAGTCCTATGACGCACGCGTCTGTCTGAGCCTGGGGTAACTCACTCGACTACGTACTGCAGGGTCAATTCGGGTATTGCTGATTATTTGCGGCTCTGCTGCTAACACCTGCGGCACCATCTGTTATGCTTCACCACTTATCCTGTGCAACAAGGCTCGGCGCGGTCACTTACGTGACAACGCAACTTAACATGGGGATAATCATATGAGCGGAATGAGAAGGACCCACCTGATCCTCCGTTCCGTAGGCCATATCCGAGACGGGGGTCGTGCCTGCATTCTGGGTTGCTCGGGCGCGCAGGGAATTGTGAGGCGGAGGAAGAGGAGACCGAACGATACGGTTGAGAGGTTAGGAAGAGGAAGTGTCTGTAACACGTCATGGAATTGAAGTGTCGATTTGGATGGACACGCGCGCGCACACACACACAAGTACGCACACCCATGCGTGCCGTCACGGGCCGTCTCCCCACACGCTTGGCCCCAGTGACCACACGCCGTATAAAGTTAGGTGCGTGTCGGGGCCGTGGTTCCAGCAGGACGAGGAGAAGTTCCGAGGAAGGAGAAGCGACACCACCGCCGGGGGGGGCACCTC